TTTCCATAACAAAGGAGTTACCTTAACTATACTGACTTAAAGAAAATCACATTCAACTTTAGCTTGGCGAAACTAAACACCTTGGCTGCTGACAATGAAAAAGGTTCAGAGTTATCTTAAATGTTTTGTCTCTTTACTTATTTATCTGCATCAGACAGAAATTTAAAGCCATTTATAGTTCATGGATCCACTTAAAATCTCTTTTTACTCTGACAAATTTCTGGTATAAGAGTCCCTTCTCCCTCCTATCCTATCCTAGCTGCTCTTATACAATCTTCTACTCTCACAAACCTAGTGGTAAAAAAAAATATCCTGCTCTGTTATGCCTGACACTTCAGGGCCTCAGTGCCAATGTTACCTGTCCAATTAGTCATTAGCTAGGTTATAAACCACTCCTGTATGTATGTGTGATTAAAAGAATTAGTAATATGAAATATAAGGTACCAAAGAAGTGCTGACCATGCAAGAATAATATATGTGTTTGTGGATTATGAGAAAAAATTTCTTCTGAAAGGTCCTGTTTCATGTTCAATAGTTTATTGACTCAGCAATATATCAGATCTCCACTGGTCAGTAATGGTGTTCTTTCTCTAATATGTTCATTAATTAATGAACTCAGTAATTAATTGTACTGCAAGAATAACGGCTTACAAAATGGTATTCTTATTTTACCATAAAAGGTTTTCTCACCTCCACTGCCTTTTTTTAAATGTCTGCACCAACGTGACACACATTTGTTGTATTTGATGTTATTTTGTCTTGTTCATGTGTGACTGTATAATAGGAGTAATACAGTGTAGGTACACATACTAGATGAAACTGCATCATTTGGTAGAGTTGCTTTATTAAGACTCATCAGTATTTCCATTACAAACTTACCTATTTTTGGCCTAGAGGCTAACAGGTTGCCTGTAAAAATTGGATTCAGCTTGAACCTGAAATATTTCAGTGTTTCAGCCTAAGAGTGACTTTTATTACACACATTCAGAAATGATCCATTTCGTCATTATAAATTACAAGATGGGGGAAAAAAAACGTTTAGAGGTTTTATGTTTCTTTTCCTCTTCCCTGATTTAAAGTCTTGGTGGTGGACAGCGTTGAAGGAGATTAACCAATTAGCAAGATTTCTATCTTTTATACATACCCCCCCAAAAAATTCACACAAACTTTTCAGAACTATGAAAACATCAGCTTGTTCGTCAAATAACTAAATCTGAAGTCTTCAAAAAGAGCTATACATTTTTATAAAGTCATATGGATTGGCATGAGCAATTCCAAAGAGATAAGTAGCATGGCCAAAACATTCAGCCTGGCCTCCCTTGGCCACTTCTTCCGCAAAAGCTGTGTTGATGCCAGGTTATAATCTGTTTTTCGTAGTTTCCTATCCCATCAATGAGAATCCCATGCATACTTCTGAGTGAAGAGGATAAACCCCTCAAGCTGCAACATGCTCATTTGGGACAGGAAAAAATCATATTCTAGTTCACATTCTGGCATGATCTTGGGCAAATTACTTTGTTAGGCTGATGCCTACATTCCCTAAACAATAACTGGACGCAATGACAGTAAAGTGCTGCTGTCAGGCTAAATGCAACATAAATTGTGAGGCACTCTACAGTGATGGAAGCTATTGAAAATCTCAAGCAGAATTTAGTCTTTATTTCAAAGATTTATTTTTTCAGTTTACTCAGTGAATCCAGAATCAATGTAACTACCTCAGATCACTACAAAATCTAACATGAAACCAGAGAAACTTGGCAGAGAGAAGTTTCAAGACACCAGGAACAGTGTGTGTTCCTACATGCACAGATGGAACATTAACATTCATTAACACGGAAGAAAGAACTGTCTTTAAAAGCCTTCACAATGAAACCAAGATAGGTACTGAGTCTTGCAAGGATATATATATGAATTATTAACAATATCTTTTTACTGGTTTTCAATTGCATTTAACTTAGGCATACAAGTCACTGACAGTTCTGTGTAACAGACTCAGGAATGACCCAGAATGGCAGTGAGCGATTAATGTGGCATAAATTCACCTAAGCATCCAAAGCTTCAATGCAGCTTCTAAAAGAGCTAGGCATTCCAAGCGTCATCCACTGTAATTGTGCCTTTGCAACATATTGCTGAAAAGTTTATGTAATGGGACTCTGCGTACTACTTTTGAAAGAAACAGATTTTTTTCCTGACTAAGGTCTTCCTCAGAAACTCCTCCATGAAAGACAGAAAGAAAACAGAAGGAAAAGAAACCAACGACCTTGCGTAGCAAGACGAACAGCAAAATCAGCAGATGCAGGCTCCCCCTGTGCCAGCTGATAGGCAACCGTGTATTTAGATGACAACTTGCAGGTTAAGGCCCTTAAGTAAGCAAAACATGGTTTTCTACAGCTTCTTTTAAAGTGCCATTATGTTCTACTTCATCAATGGTCTGCAGATAACAGGAGGTCTCAGACATTTTTATACATCTCTTCCACTGAGTTCCTAGCATAGCAGTTCTACCAAATGAGAGTGGCCCTTGAAGACCTGTGCAGGAAATGGACTGGATTTCAGTAGAATAATTTTAAATAGTTTACACAACTGATTCCTTAAATCATAGAATCATAGAATGGTTCGGGTTGGAAGGGACATTAGAGGTCATCTAGTTCCAACACCCCTACTATGGGCAGGGACACCCTCCACTAGACCAGGTTGCTCCAAGCCTCATCCAGCCTGGCCTTGAACACCTCCAGGGATGGGGCATCCACAACTTCCCTGGGCAACCTGTTCCAGTGCCTCACCTACTCTCACAGTAAAAAAATTTCTTCCTTATATCTAATCTAAATCTGCCCTCTTCCACTTTAAATCCATTACCCCTCATCCTGTCACTACATGCCCTTGTAAAAAGTCCCTCCACATCTCTCCTGTAGACCCCTTTCAGGTACTGGAAGGCTGCTGTCAGGTCCCCCCGGAGCCTTCTCTTCTCCAGGCTGAACAACCCCAACTCTCTCAGCCTGTCCTCATAGGGGAGTTGCTCCAGCCTTCTGATCATCTTTGTTGCTCTCCTCTGGATCCTCTCCAACAGCTCAATGTCCCTCTCGTGTTGGGGGCCCCAGAGCTGCACGCAGTACTATTGGTGGAGCCTCACAAGAGCAGAGTAGAGGAGAATCACCTCCCTTGACCTGCTGGCCACACTTCTCTTGATGCAGCCCAAGATCCAGTTGGCCTTCTGGGCCACAGGCACATCCTACTGGCTCATGTTCAGTTTTTCATGTACTGACACCCCTAAGTCCTTCTCCTCAGAGCTGCACTCAAGCCATTCTCTGCGCAGCAAATCCTGAAGCAATACTATTAAGGCTCAAGAACAAAATACACATATGCATAAAAAATAAATTGTTTTATAATTGACACTGAAACATTCAGAAATATCTTGCTGCTCTCTTTGAGATCTTCTTCCTGTAGAGTGTAATGCAAAAAAAGAAGGGAACTTTGCCTAGTACCAAAGCATGTGGTCTAGTACACCTATATGTTAAGTTTGAATGGCTAACATTAAAAGATGTTAGACCTGACTTCTGTGGGTTTCCCCCAGACCAAAGATATTTATTTAGCATAGTTTGGGTGATTTAATTATATCTAACAAGTAAATATTATTCCACATATTAATAGGAACAGCCTATAGCAGTAATGGAAAATCAATCTGTCTGGCTGTTTCACAGAGCTTCCAAGAGATAAGAAGCAATAACCTATCATGAACAGGA